TATAAGAAAAAAAAAAAACAACTATAGGGCAAGAAAACGGAAGAGAAATCTACTTATGTGGTATAACAGATTCCATAAGCTTAATTAATACCAGAATAATAATAAAAAAAAAAACGTAAATGGTTTTGTAAAAAGAGTGATCCATTCAACGATTTCTTAAAGAACACCCCCTGCGATAGTTTAGGTAAGAATTTTTACGTCTGTTATGACTAATTAATGAGTCTGTGTGAAAGAAAATGCCAATCATACTTCACTCAAATAGGTATGGCAAAGTAGATGATTCGATAAAGATCTCAAATACACACACATCCACTGAGTCTCATCATATACGTAAAATTATACAATATCACTGATGGTTACTAATGATGTCATAAGTAAGAGTCTACAAGAATATATGTACTTATACTGAAGAAATCTGAAGTAGTATATCCCACAACTGTCAGATTTAGGAGAATAAAAATGTAGTCTATTCCCCAAAAGTTTCAAAAAGTAAATAAAAATCAACTACCTTGACACGGTCAAATATCCAATTTCAATACGCCATCTTTATAAGCCAACTGAGAAGATTGCTTTCTTGGGAACGAGTCGGAAACCAAACTTGGGTGAGGTCTATATATATTAATTCCCCCAAAAAAACCCATTTAATTTGTTCACACAATTGATTCAACGAGTAACATTGAACAATTAATGTTCGTTTTCTTTAATTCCTTTTGTGGAGATGTACTCCCTGAATAACTCGAATAACATGAAGCATTTGATAACTACGAAAGAAAAGAAAAAAAAAACGATATAAGAGAGAAACAATATAAAAGAACTGAGAAAGGGTGTAGCAGAAAAAACAAGCAGAGAATTAGATAGAGGGAGAGGTAGACTACGTATATGTATATGTAGTGTGTTCACAAAGAAAAGCAGTACATATGGCATGCATCAAGGATATTGTTAAAGAAAAACATCGAAAATAAAAAAAAACCCAGCTATAAATGTGCATCCACGTGCAAGTGCAAAGGTGTTCAGAAAAACATATATTTATATGCATATTCTTTTTTTTACTTTCATTCGAACAACTTATGAAAATCATAAAGCAGGGGGATATAAATATCCAGCACGTGACAGCAAGGCACAATTACTCTTATTTTTCCATTTTTTTTTTTTTTTTTTTCTTTTTTCCTCTTAGAAAAAAAAAAAAAAGAATACAGGATAAACTTTTTTTTTTTTTTTTTACCTTTCGTTCCTCTTTCTCTCTCTCTCTCTCTCTCTTTACCAGTCTTAGATAGTGGTGGGGGGTTCCACCGACTTCGCATCTTCACTTACCCAGATGTCATCCGCATTTTGATATTCTTTTAACGCCTCAACGCGCTTCTCGTCCCAACCATCCTTTGCCGCAATAGCAGAGAGTAGGGCAAGTCCAATGCGTTTCATATATGGATTTTGATGATTCCGAAGTCGTTCCTCCAATGCAATTTTTCCCTCTAGACTCCCACCATCACATCTCATGTTGAGAACAGCAGCACTTACAGCGCCAGGGTGGAGCAGGTGCCTCTTCAAAGCGTCTTCCAAGAGTGTTTCCATTTGTTCTGCTGGTAGATGACAGAGGAGTCGACACCCTACTCCAATTTGAACACGTTTTTCAAATAACGCCTTTACAAATGCAAATGTAATCTCTTCAAAGCGCTCTTCATTCTTCCAGTTCAATGTAATTAATCCATCTGCAACAGTTTTTAGACGACACTCCTCTATAGTTGCCAGTTCTGAGGCAATATCAGAGGGATTAATGTCTGTTAAAGACACCACTTGAATTGTTAGGGAAGGAAATCTTGACCCTGTATGTGAACGCAATAATTGTAATAAACAATTTTTCAGGTTGATATCATAGTACCCCAAAGGATGATCTGACAGCCTTTCAAGGGCGGAAAGTTGAACAGTGGAATATTCACGTGAGAGCAACAATACGAACAGTTCGCAGAGACGCCCCCGCTGCCATGATTCCACCAAAGTATCTTCTGGAATTGAAGTCATAGATCTCACCACAGCCTCATCTTCCGATTTTGCTCGCTCAATTAAAATATCCCAAATCTCAGGTTTTTCCAAAAATTTAAACATGGCGTGTATCCACGCTATTTCTACATCCTCATGTAGTTTTGAGTACTGCCGTAGTTTAGTTAAAGCCGCATACGCTTTTGCATCTCCAAGGTCGCCAATAATGCGAACAGCCACCTTTTGCACAGCCACCAAGTTAGAATATAGAGCTGAGTCAAGAACTTTAATAACTTCTGATGATGAAAGAGCGGCAAGACGACGTCGAATAGCATATACCGCCACACGTGCTCGACTGTCAGCGAGGGCATAAGTAAGCAAGAGGAGTGATGCCTCATCCTTCTGCCGTCCAAGAAGCTCAATGGCTCTGTCTCGCAGGAATATGTTGCTGTATTTCTCATCCACAAAGGGTGTAACTGCCTCCGTTACGTTCGCACTGTGTAATGTTCCCAGTGCATTCATCAATTGTGGCTCATGGTGTTGCTCATGATCTTTATCCGACAAATATTCAAGAATGGTCGTTGCGTATGTCTGCTGTTTTGCCGCCGTCCAGAGATTACCATCCTTGAAGATGATAATAGGTCCTTCCCATGAAGAATAGAAGCGTCCAGCAGCCTTTACTGGTACAAGAAGGCGATCAAGCAACTTACCTTGAATACTTCGGCTCACTGTATTCCGAACAATCGGAATATATATTAAATCGGCACTTTTTGCCAATATATCTGGAATTAGTTTTATACCCGTAGAATGAAAGCATTTAAGCAGATATTTTACACCACATCGTGCCGTTTCTGTATTTGGTGATTCACACATACACTTTAGAAATGGTATTGCAGATTCCGACAAATGTTTTAAAGAGGAATCAAACCCAAATATTAAAGAAGATAAAGTATGACCAGTTTCTTTCAAGATAAGTTTTGTCATATATGGGAATAGAGAAGACCACATATGTTCCACTGCAGGCTTTGGTACTTGGTATTGAACCATGCTGCACATTCCAGCGTTGCGCTTCACAACTTCAAGAAGTACAGTATCGATTAAGTTAAAGGAAAAACGTGACGTACGAAATATCAATGTCAAGGCAGAATTTAAAGTTTGACTCGAAGTATCCTTAGCTTCACAAGGACGCAAAAGAATTTTTGCAAGCTTTTCATAGTGACTTTCCTTCCACCTACCAGGAGGTAATTCTGAAAGTCGAAATATAATTTCCTGTTGTACAAGATCGTTTTCGTTTCCACGCTTAACACAAAACTCAAGTATATCATCAAGGTGATCAGGATAAAAAAGACCACTGCTTACAACGGCGGCACAAGCCGCAGCACGAAGATGTACATCTTGATGTTTTAGATAAGCTTTACCCAACTCTATGGCTAATGGGAATGGCACCAAGGAGAGGTAAGAAATCCAGGTAGTCTCGTCAAGACGCAAATCTTTAGCATCATTAAGTGCCTTCATAGCCTCTTCTTTACGCTTTTTAGCATCTGTAATACCATTAATTACAATTACATCTAGTACACCGTACTCATTTAATAATAAATTTCGTCGTTCCGCATACAGCTTGGATCGCACAGCAGCTGGTGCATTGATAAAAAACGTCGAGAGGCATTCATCATTAAGTGATTCGGCATCATGAAGTTTAATGACCGTATCGGGATCCAATTTCTTTAAAATTGACCAACTACGCAGTACTTCCCGCATCTTATGTTTAAGAACGAGGTTGGCCACATCTTTGGGATACTTGCGTGCGTAAAGTATCATACATGCCGCACTTATTTTTATATTTCCTGCAACTTCAGTAAGAAGTTGAAGTCCAATCTCTGGATGATAGCGGTTTAGTGCGTGAAGGACCATGTGTGCACGGTTTTTAACACCCAAAGTCGTATTCATCGCACTTTGAGTCTCATTCTTTACAAACTTTACCACGAAATTTGGATATCGACGTGATAAGGTATACCACTCATTTCTTTTCAAGAGGAACATAGTTGAAGTGGATTGTTTATTCAATATCTCCTCTGAGGCCCAACAAAGTAACACAACCGCCAAGGTTCTTCCCTCTACATCTTTAGCAAGAGATGATGCAAAAAACTCATCCACCACTTTTGACAATCGTTTTGTCTTTTCAAGGTGGTTACAGAAGAGTGAAATACGATTTTTTGGTAATTCTTCAAACAATTTCAATATTTCAGAATCAGAAAAATTTCTCGCTGCTGGTCGCATAGCCAAAGAAGCAATAGAATCAAAAGGATCCTTCAAAAGTCTCTTGACCTCTGTTTTGCATTCACTTTGTATAATCCCAAAAGAACCAATCCAACGTTCATATGGAATATTTGACTGGGAAAGCTTCAACATCAATTTCCATTTTTCACTATTATCTCCTTCTTGCAATGCCGCACGACCGAATTCTACGCTTCGTTTCGATCGTTCTGCATAGCTTAAGGATTCCAACTCACTCAAAAAAGACTTCTCTGGGGAAGTAGTTGCACCCACCGATTTGAGTGATTTTGCTTTCCCTTCTGCTGTTGCAGCTGCCTTGGGAGTTCCAACTGTTTTAGGAGTTCCAACTGTTCTGGGAGTTGCAGTTGTTTTGGGAGTTGCAGGTGCCTTTGGAGTTGCAGTTGATTTGGGAGTTCCAACTGTTTTAGGAGTTGCAGTTGATTTGGGAGTTGCAGATGCCTTTGGAGTTGTAGTTGATTTAGGAGTTGTAGGTGCTTTAGGAGTTCCAGATGCCTTCGATGGCGGCGTGTTTGGTGTTGTCGATTTGCTTTTTCGATCAGGTACTGACTTCATTTAATATATATATATATATATATATATATATATGGTTTACTTTAAGAAGAAGTAACAATCTGGATATAAAAAGAAAAAGGGAAGAAAACAGTAGTGCGAGAAAGGAGGATAAACACACAGACACAAAGAAAAACAAAAAAGAATGCATTCAATAGGAACCTTTTGAGAAGGCAATATATATATATATATATATAGTTTTTTCTTCTCTTTTTCTTCCATAGGCGTATGTGGGGAATCTAAGCCTTTTTAACTTAAATCATACCCACTCACTGACTTTTTGGGGGGTATTTTAGAAGATAAGAAAATCAGGGCGTCCAGTGTATTTTCTTGCAAAGATTTTACCGTATACTGTTGGTTCAGAAAAGGCAACCTGCTCTGCAGGGATTTCAAACCCATACGAAACATTCTGACGGGCCAATTCGACCAACATGGTAGCAATACCAGAGCGACGGTGTGCATTTGAAACCCAAAAAAACTGAATTCCACAGAAGGAAGATCCCGTACACCACATATCCCCAACTTCCGTTGTACCATCAACCCAATGATTCTCATTATTTTCGTTAGACGCAGTGCATGGCGCACTTGTTGATCCTCCCAAGATTGTTGTTGTTGTTGTTGTTGTTGTTAATGAAGATTCTGAAGTGGATACCAATGATGATGATAATGATATGGATATCGGTGTTTTCCTGCAGTGCAAACGATAGGCCATACTCAGTTCACGAGCCACACAAAGTCCCACCACTTCTAATCTCTGCGTTGGTCGAAGGGCAGTACTAACACCACCATTAACAAAAGAAGAAGAAAAAGGAGAATTATTGCAAGAAGAATTAATAGAATTGTCATGACGAGAGGTTGGGGTGGTCATTTCAGCAAATGCTACTATCAACAATGAGTCGCTTGATATCTCATCCACTGCACCTATAGATTGACGAGCCCCATCCAGTGCCTTTATCAGAAGTGTTCGTAGTGATGCCTTACAACAAGTAGTGCTGGGTGGCACTTGTATGCGCTGTGTGGATGACACCTTTACACGTTTGGACTGTGATTTAAAGAAACCTGGCAGAACCACATATTGTAGTAATGTGTTTTTCGCTGTTACACCATCGTGCACACGGCATGGTGGACATAACAATGATCGTCGTAATGCAATGACCGACAGAGAAAGAGAATCACTCATGCATGAAGAATCAACTAGGGGGTTAGAAGCATCATGCTTACCCTGCTGTCGTTGCCGTTTGTTTCGGAAAAGGGTTTCTTCTTTAGACAAGGAAGAGGAAGGAGAGAGAACCATCAAAGAAATTCAATGGATGTATCCATAAATATACCTCTCTTTGGTTATCTGTGTATTTGTCTGTCTGTCTGTGTGTTTGTTTTTTCTTTGTCTTATATGGTTTAAAAATAATAAGAAGAAAAAAAAAGGCCAAAACACTTGAATAGCATAGAGAGAAAGAGAATAAGATGGTACAAAATTTCGTAATGATAGCAGCATGATAAGCAGTGAAGCCAATACTACTCTTTCACTCATTCATTTATTTCAAATAAATAAAGAAGAACTACGAGAAAACAAATAATCTGAAAAAAGGGAACAAATCTATAGTTAGAACATTATGTACGAAAAGGAATAATAATAATAATAATAATAATAATAATAATAATAATAATAATAATAAACCATACTTATTTCCCTCTGTTGAAAAAAAATAAAAAATAAAAAAATAATCTCCCCTCCCCTCCAAAAAAAAAAGAAAAAACAAGATTGTGAGGTTTAGTTTAAACGAACAACTCGTAGACCTGCCAACCCTGGAGGTCTGTCTTCATTTCTCTTCTGCTCTGTGGGAGAATGGTAAGGCCGAACTACTGAGGAAGTGCTGTTCTTTGATGCTGATGCTCTGTGGGTGGTGTGATGATATTGTGATCGGGGTGCAGGTCCTTCTTTTTCTTTTTTTTCTTCTGTTGCTGCTGCTGATGATGATGATGATTTATTGTATTTATTGTACTTATTGTATTTATTCTGTCCTCGTCCCTGCAAGTCAGAATTACTGTTGTTGTATGGTTGTTTTTTTCTTGGTATATATTTCGGTACTTTACGAGAAAGTTCATTTACAGGAGCAGCAATAGGTGTAGTAAATCGAAAAATATCCAATTTCTGAGACCCACAATTCTGCTGATTCTCTTTTGCAGTAATATTTATTACTTCTGATGTTGTTTCCATCTCTTTTAATGTATTAGATGATCTTTTCTTGCTGGAATCACTGTTCCCCTTTCTGCGTTGAGATGATTTGGGCAAAGCTGACACGGCTCGAAAGGCGCTATTCGAAAACCAAAACCATGAATATTCACAGTACCATCGCCGCATGACTATAAATTATTATTACTTTAGTTTTGTTTTATTTATTGACGAATTAAATTAAAATAAAACAGGAAGAGAAGAAAAAAAAAAAAAAGAGGATTTAGAAGAAAGTCAAGCAAAACAGAAAAAAAAAAAACTACACCAAATCGTATTATTTTCCGTATCCTTCCCATCTCTCACCAACAAAAGTGAGAAAAGGAAGAACAGAAATCAAAGAAAAAAAAACAAAAAACAAGAGTAGAATAGATTGTAACAGATTCATATTGTAATTGTAGTTATCGTGTCCGTTGTCTGCGGCCGCAATAAAACAAACTGCACACTACTGTGGG